GTATTTAGAAGTTGGTTTGGCCCAAGGGTCTAGTATTATTTTATATTGGAGGAACATTCTTCTAAGTCGTATAGCACTCTTCTGTCAATTTGCCACACTGAGGTATCTGGGTGGGTTTGCTGTGATGCTGAACCTTGTGCCCCTGGGGGCACAGATGCCATAATGACTGACCATGGTGGACAGTGTTTGGTGGAGCTCCCAGTTTAAGACAGGTTTGGAAGCAGGAGTGGCATTCACTTCCTAAACAACATGCCTCTAGAAACTCTATGAACTTGGAGAAATGACAATAGTTATAGAAAGGCTCCAGGCCTTTTGTTCATAGGGTCACTATGAGTCATGCTTGTCTCGACGGCAGTAAACAATGTATACAGATATTATTTCCTGTTTTAAGTGGCATCAGATCATAAATTTTAGTTTGGAAAGAACCTTTAGATACCATCTGAGTAGTCCTGTTTTCTTCAAATAAAATTCATATACTAAATGTTTAGCCAGTTTGGTATTAGAGTTCTTTGAGTCCTCTGAGAATGATGTTGATATACATGTAGAAAAAAAATAGATATTCTCCTATGACCGTATACATTTGGAAGGTCATATTTCTGTATATGTATCTATACGTGTTATAAATAGGTTCATGTATATAGTAGAGCAAGAAGGGGACACAATTAAGTAAACTACTTAGTTATAGACAAATATAGTGAGGGAATGAGTCACTAGACCTGGGAGTTCAGGATCATAATCTTGGAGGACATCATGGTCAGTTGACACAAGATGGTCTATAAAGACAATATTCCACATCATTCTTGCATGAATAGTGATTGGAATTTTAAAAGCTTGTGAGTGGCAATCGAAGGTGCAACAAGTGACTTCTCCTCATGTGGAGTAAAGAAAATTAAAGACAATGAATGAGTCCAGTGTACTAAATGTCCTGTAAATGTCAGTCTTCATCAAACTGGCAGCTGAAAAACTAGATGGTTCCTTCTCTGAAAGGAATTATAAGAGAAGATCTTTGCTAGAATGGGAGGGAAATGTGGCATAAAACTCACAATTATTATAAAGACCAAGTGTACTGGTCAGAGCTTGTAGAGCTCCTAAGAGTGGTTCCTTGGGGTTTATGGTGCAACTACTTATGTGCTACACCACAGGAGCTCCCTCTGAAAATAGGAAACCCCCTTTGTTACTCTTCAGACCAAGAAATGGAAATCACTCACCTTCCAACTAAACAGAACTCAGAACTCATTGCTTTGGAGTTGGAACTTACTTAGACCCTCCAGGGCTATAAATTGCACAGAAGGAGATTGCCTAATTTTCTTTCTTGGAGCCACTGGTGGATTCATACCCCTAGTGTGGGGCTGTTTTTGGATTAGCAGTTCAGCTCTCTATGACTTGGCCTCCACAGCTCCCTAGCCAACAATAGACAAGCCTGCAATAATCAGTAACACTAAGGAGGAACTCACTCTCTAGAACAGTCAACCATATGTGATTAGAAGATCAGTGATTACCATAGACCAAAGCTCAGAATGCAGGATTGACTAGGAAAGAAGGAAATAGGAAACACAGATAAGTGGAAAGAGTGCAGTGACAATGGAAATATTGTCATCAGTGTTACAGAACATAATAGGTAAGAGTGGCAAATCACTTTTGTAAACTTTCAGTCAAATTACAATAAAAAATTTTTTTAAAGAAAAAAGCTACACCTGAAAAAAAACCCCAGAAGTAAAAATCCAACTTTAAAAAACCTAAAGCTGTAGGTAGACCACAAAAATAACTTGATGAGGCACAGCTTCCCCTGGTCTCTCTCTCTCTAGACCAAGGAATCTCAGCCAGGAGCCCCCTTAATAAAGCTACCTTTAAGCTTTCAAAGAAAAAAAAATCACTTGATGAGCCTGCTTAGGTAAAAATGTTTGCCTTGGAGAAGATAGTAATGGAGTTCCTGACCTCCTTTTTTTTGATCATTAAATAGTATTGACGAGCAAGCAGGAAATCACCTTTTAAAGTGCAGAATGCTAATATACTAATTGACCTGTGAGGAATGAAATTACTACTTGTTTAAATATAGTATACTTTTGAGCAAGTAGAAGTTGAACATAGTTAGGTTCATAGATTTTATAAGAGATTTTATAAGTTTGACTGAACATACAAAAATCACTCCGATAGAAAAGCCATGGCCTGTTTTGTCAGGAATAGGACTTCAGTTAAAGATCAAAATACCACCATAGCAGAGATTTTGAAGTAACTTTTGTTGATCTTCCTTGCAGGTCCAGAGTGTCAATTCATGTCATAGCTGTGCTTGTGGCAACTCTAACTCCTGGGACAAAGCCGATGAAGATGATATTAAACTTGTTAATATTCCTGTGACCACTCCTGAGAATTTATATTTGATGGGTAAGAATGATAAGAAAAAGTTCTAAGAGCTTGTGCTCGCATTGGATTTAAGAGGAAAAACAAGTGGACTATTCTGACAGAAGTAACTCTTATTTTGAAAATACTCTTATCTGTCAAATTCAGTCTACATTATAGAAAACAGTGTTAGTTTCTTGAGGGTGCTGTAACAAATTATCATAAATTTTAGGGTTTTACACAACAGAATTAATTTTTCTCAGCTCTGGAGGCAAAAGTCTAAAACCAGTATGACTAGGTCAAAGGCAAGGTGTTAGGAAGACTGCACTCTCTCTTGAGACTCTACGGGAGACTCCATTCCTTTCCTTTTCTAGCTTCTGTAGATTGTAAGCATTTCTTGGTATGCTGTGACATCCCTCTATGACTTACTTTACCATCTTCTCTGTGTTTATCAAGCTTCCTTCTTCTACCTTTCTTTTACAAAAACATTTGCGATTTAAGGCCCGTTGGATAATTCAGAGGAGCCCTGTTAGTGTTGTGGTTGTGTTCTAGGATACTACCTGAAAGGTCAGTGATTCAAACATACCAGTTACTTCACATGAGAAAGATGTACCAGACTGCCGCTGTGAAGATTTACAGCCTTGGAAGCTACATATGACATTATACTTAGTTTATAAGGTTTCTGTAAGTTGGACTCGATAAAAACTGGTTTTGTTAGGGTTTGGATAATTTAAGATACTTTTTTAATAAGATCTTTAATAACACCTACAAAGACTTCACACACACACACTCCTCCCCAATTTAAGGTAATATTTACATAGTCCAGGAATTAGGACTTGATATCATAAAGGAGACCTTTGTTTGGCTTATTACATTTGTTATGTGCCCTCTTGAACCTTCTAACGCTCATTGTTTTGTTTGAGCCCATTATTTTGGCTGCTGTGCTATTATATCTCATTGAAGGGCTTTCTCTTTCTTAATGATTTTATTTTTGCACCTTCCCCAAGACACTAACCCTACTGCTGTGAAGTCAGTTTTCACTCATAGTGACCCTCTATCATGTAAATCTTAAAAGGAAGAGCTCTTTATCTTTCTTCTCCAGAGCAGCTGATGGATTAGAACTGTGAACTTTTCGTTAGTGGTGTAGTGGACTAAACACTATACCAAAGCATTTGTTCTTCTCTACAGACTCTTCTAACATCACGGCCAGATGATGCATGTATGTTATCCTTGTTTCCAGGAGGATCCTCGCTGTGTTTTTAAGACAAATTTGTATATTCTTCTGGCAGTTGATGGAATAGTCAGTATTCTCATCAACGTCATAATTAAAAGCCATTAATTTTTCTTCACTCATCTTTGTTCATGCTTTAACTTACAGATGCCGGGGTGTCAGAACCCTTGAACATTGGCTTTTCTAGCCATTATGTTAGCCCCCATTGTGGGAGAATGGTCTCACTGTCTTAACTGTGTACACATCATCTTGCAAAGCATGAACAGCTGTGGGAACCACATAAGAGCGTGCTTTCTACACCGTGAGAGAAAGCTGTAGTGATGATGGTGGAAAGATTGTGAAGACACTGTGCCGCTGCTGGAAGAGACGGGAGCAAGGAAGAACCACAGTAATTTTGCAGTTAAAAGCCACACAGTTAGAAATTATACTTGCTGCATGATGGAAGGAAAAGGTGCCTTTAACTGCTCTGAGATAAAGTTTGCTAGAGGATTGAGGAAACCAGAGGCTTGTCGTATTTTTTGCTGTTGAACTGAACCTGGACTTTCCCTAATTGAGGAATTGTGCCTTATTAATCTGGTTTCAGACTGCTGGACTAAAGCTGGATTTGCACTGTGAGATATTCTTGCTTCCCTCATTCTCCAACTTATTTCCTTAATAAACCCACAATTGTGAGTAAGGTATGCGAGTCTTGCAATCAACATTAGACTCACTGATTGGTAGAAATAGGTGCAGGAACATGTGAAGTGGCATGTCTGACTAGGTAGCTGTTTTAATAATGCTATGGACATTAGTGATGGGGACACTTCCCCTTTATGTTAAGTGGTTAGGTATCATCGGGTTGAGTACAACCCATAGTGACACTGTGAACAAGACAGGAACCTTGTCCTATCTTGGGCTATCCTCACACTTCTTGACACATTAGAGTCCATTGTGGCAGTCACCGTGGCAGTCCACCTGGTCATGGGTCTTCCTCTCCTTTGCTGATTCTACTTTTTGAGGATCATGTCCCCCTCCTAGGATTATCCCCTCCTAGCAACATGCCCAAAGTATGTGAAATGAAACCTCATCATCTTTGCCTCCAAAGAGCACTTTAACTACACCTGCTCCAAGACATACTTGTTTGTACTTTGGTAGTCATAGGGAAGTTCAGTACTCTTCTCCAACACCACAGCTCAAAGGCATTAATTCTACTCTCATCCTTGTTCATTGTCCAGCTGTCAGATGCATAGCAAATGAGCAGAAAGACCATGGCCTGAATCAGATGCACCTTAGTCCTCAAACTGACATCATTACTCTTCAGTAATTTGGAGAGGTCCCTAACTGCAGACTTTTCCATTGCAGTACATCTCCTGATTTCCTGACTGCTGGTACCACAAGTGTTAATTATTAATTAAAATTAGATGAAATTGTTGACAATTTGAATCTTTCTTTATCCAGCATGATGTTACCTATTGGTCCAATGGTAAGAATCTTTGTTTTCTTGACATTAAGATGCAATCCATATTGAAGGCTGTATTGTTTGATCTTCTGCAACAAGTGCTTCAAGTCCTCCTCACATTCAGCAAGCAAGTTTGTGTCATCTGCATGACGTAGGTTATTGAATCTTCCTCTGATTTTGATGCCACATTCCTCTTTTCCCAGTTTTAAACCATGTAGTTTTCCCTTGATCTGTTCACATACAACTTCCTGGTCTAGGTAAGTTCAAGATCTTCTTAAGAATAAGTTTGACAACACTGAACACCAGTGATCTAAGACCAAATGAGTTATGGGATGGTATAAAAGATATCATCCATGAAGAAGCATTACAGAGGGAGAGGAAAAAGAAAAAACTGAAATGGATGTCAGAAGAGGCCCTAAAAATTGCACAACAGCATCTAGAAGCCAAAACAAAGGCAAAATACACTGAAGAAGAGAGCTGAATAGATGACTTCAAAGGGCAGCTTGAGAAGACAAAGCAGAATATTATAATGGAATCTGCAGAGAACTGAAATTGGAGGATAAAAGGTAAGAACTCTGCATTTCTCAAGCTGAGGGAACTGAAAAAACTAATGTAAGCCTTGACTCACATCATTAAAAGATGCTATGGGCTATAAATTGAATGACCCAGAAAGCATCAAAAGAAGCTGGAGGGAATACACAGAGTCACTGCTCTAGAAAGAACTGACACTGACAAATATCAGGAAGTATCCTGTGAGCAGAAACCAATGGTAATGAAGGAGGCAGTGGAAGCTGCATTGAAGGCATTGGCAAAAAATAAGGCCCCAGGAATCCATGGGATACCAGTTGACTTGTTTCAGTTCATAGATACACTCTGTACATGCTCACCTAGAAATCTTTGCCAGGAAATTTGAAATACAGTTGTCTGTCTTCCGACAGATTGGAAGAAATCCGTATTTATTCCCATACCCAAGAAAGATGATCCAACAGAATGGAGAAACTGTAGAACAATATCATTAACATCACATTCAGGCAAAATAATGCTGAAGATCATTAAAAAATGGCTAGAACAGTGGATAAATAGGGAACTGCCAGAAGTTCAAGTAGGATTTAGAGGAGGCCCTGGTACCATAGATATAATTGCTGATGTCAGATGGATCCTGTCTTAAAGTGGAGAATGCCAGAAGAATGTTTGGTTTTGCTTTTTTGACTACGCGAATGCCTTTGACTCTGTGTATCATAACACATTATGGCTGACATTGGGAAGAATGGGAATCTCAAGCACTTAATTGTGCTCCAGGAGCCTTTTGTGTGAACAGAGCAAAGGAACACTACATGGATCCCTTTACGAAGCAGGTAGAATCAGCCTCAGTCCCTCTCACTGTTGCATCTTCTTAAACACTCGCTTATGAAGCAGTGGAAATACCATGCCTTGGATCAGGTGCACTTTAGTACTCAAGGTGACTTTTTGCTTTTAATACTTTAAAGACATTCTTTGTAGCAGAATTGCTTTATACAGTATGTCATTTGTTTCCTGACGGCTACTTCCATGGATGTTATAAATAACTGTAGATAACTTGCTCCTTATCTAATGAGTTTGGCAAAATTCATTTCACCTAATTTGTTTTATCTAGCTAATATTGTGTGCTTATGCACAACAGAACACACGCAGACTAACAGAAAGGGCAACCTAGGCAGAATTATCAAGTATGGAAATACAAAGGAGGAGGAACAGTTG